TAATAAAATTTGGTACGGAGTTAGCTTACATGCTGGATTAACACACAGGTTACGTTTTACTGCGGGAAAATATCCCTAATAAACTGCGGGTAGCACCGCGGGGCACAGCTATATTATTAATTAAATATATACAAATATAAACTAGCAAAAATATAGAATTTATAACAAGACTCGCATATTAATAGACTACTTAATGTATTTATGCATCAGCTCAAGGAGGTATGTAGCATGTTTTGTTTTATACATTAGCTTTTGTAGAAATATCAGTTACCAGAATATATAATAGTCCATATTGTATTCTAGGGCAATATTAGTTACCAGTGTTGGACTAAAATATTCTGTTAGGAAGAGGCTGTAACATCTAGTAGGCGCTCTAACTTGAGCGATATTACCGCTCTGCCATACCTCTTCTTAATTCTCTTAATGATCATGTCGTAATTAACTTATTAACAACTTTTAAATGACTGGGATGAAGTGAAAGGAGTCAACCTTCGTCACATGCAATGACGTATTCTAGGTCAGCTGTAAGAATATTTTGATAAGGGGGAAATATGTATTATTTATTTTGTTTAAGAATTGCATCCTCCTCGCTATAAAATGTAATATGGCTTTTTGAATTTATATTCGAAAATTCAACAATTTACAGATGCCAGAGCAATTTAACGATTTTCATTAAACTTTTGTAAAGAGACTTTATTATTATTATAATCACATTAATTATTGACATATAAAAACGTTTCCTTGTTTCAAAACACAACGAGATTTGATTGTAATCGATTGTAACTGATAAAATTATTTACATTACAAAAATAATCAGTATATAAATGTATATTTTGGTTTCTTTGGTCTAAAGACGAGTTAAATATTATATTTAGGAGAAAGAGAACAAAAAGAATAAAGAAAATAAATTTATACAGCAATACCAACATGACATAGGTTAAACAAATACAATGAAAAACAAATTTTGCTAAAACTGTCTCATCCCAGCGAGTTCCGTATCCTGGGATGTGGCGCTGATTCTAAGATGCAGCTGTGTTAACAGTTAGGCCACGTGCTAATATTTCTCATTATTGTGCTAAAATATAAGTCAATGCTCATAAAGGTAGCAATCCCACTGACACTATAAATGTGAAAGCTTGTTTGTTTGTATACTATTATGTTTATAACTCAATTACGCAAAAACAGCTGAACGGATTGGTTTGAAATTTGGCACGCGTATAATTTATTATTTGGATTGAGACATATGATACTTTTTATCCCGAAGACAATTTAGGTTCCTGATGGATTCACAAAAACTAAAGTTAACGCAGACGAAGTCGCGAGCGGTCGCTAGTGTCGTGCCAATTTTAAAGTTATAGCTTAAAATACATATTGAAGACTGCATCTTGTATAGTTCAAAACTTGTCGGGTAATAAAAACGCCATCAAAAACTCTAAGACAGTTACAAATAATTGTCTGATGTAGGAAGTTGAACAAGCACTAATGTAAGGTCGCTTAATATGTCTGTTCGTAACGCACCTGTTCTTAACACGTAAGTATACTATCACTTCAACACGCAAGCGATCTTGAACTTAATTACTTAACCCTTAAGATTCACAGAGAAGACGACAGAGTTGTTGTTATGACTTGTTTTAAATTTTTTTGGATACCATCCATCATATTTCCCCCGATCCTCTTAAAGTAAAATTTGACAGTCTAAGGCCGCGTTGTTTCATCCATAGTTAAATCTGACTATAGTTAATGTAACGTCAAACACATAGTAAATAAGTCAAAAAATTGATATTTTTTCTCTGGTATTTTTAGTGTAGTCAAATTTAACTGTGGATGTAACAACGCGACTGAAGGCCCCGTTTTGCATATGTAGTAAAATTTTATTATTGGTCAATGTCACGTCAAATACGTAGTAAAATGTGTCAAATTTTGACAAACGTTAAATTTTTCCATAGTCTTTTAACTGTAATCAAATTTAAGTATGCATTAATAGAGCGGCCTTAGTCTTAGACTAAGTGCTGACAGTTAAATTATCAGAGATAAATAATACGACATAATTATATATTATCATTATATTTATATATTTGTGCGTATTAATCTTTCTCTTTTATTTTTTTTAATTAAAAATAAAAAAAGCAGAAATTATTCAATTACTTCTCCGACAGTCTGACACTAATGTTTGTCAGACTGTAAGAATAATTCGCAGTCTGTTAATTATTAAATTCTGCTGGCTCGTTAAACACAAGAAAGGAATCTCGTCTTATGCAATATCATTAATGAATCAGTCGGTGAAAACACTAGGTCTTTTTTTTTATAAATTACATCTCTATAACTGATTGTTGCTGCTAGATAGAAAAACACACAATACTCCAGCTGCTAAATTTGTAACAAGATGTAAGAACATCTTTTGTAGATGTAAGTGAAGACACTTACAGCCTGTTAATGTTCCAAATAAGGGGGCACAGGTTTTGGCTGTGATTGGAATAGAGAGATGAGGTCACGACCCACCAAATGGACTTATTGCGGCTGTCAAACAACTGTCAAACATTAATTTAGGCTTAGTGTAACTTGTCCAGTATTAGGCTATTTGATAAGTTTTTGAAACATTCATACGTTATTTATTGATGTATACTCCGTCAAAAGTGAATATTTATGATTCTGTTGTGTAGGTATAAAAACCTGGTAAATGTCAGGCGATCATTATCGGCAGTTGTCGACAAATTTCGCAAATGCATGCGAACACAATTCCCGATGTTATGTTCAATGGCGTAGTGATTCCGTATTCTACAAAAAACCTAGGGCTTGTACTTGATCACACCTTTAGTTGGGATGCCCAAATGGAAAATATGTGCCACAAGGTAAACGGAACACTTGGTTCGCTTTACCGCTTGAAGAATTTTCTCCCTCCATGTACCAAAATCTCCCTTGTACAATACCTTATTCTTCCCCTCTTTCATTATGCTCATGTTTGTTTTACTGATATAAATCAATTATTGCTTACCAAATTGGATCGTCTTCTCAACAATACCATTCGCTTCGTTTTTGGTTTAAGTAAATACGATCACATCTCTGAATACCGTAATAAACTTAACTGGCTGCCTATTCGAGAGCGCAGGTACTCAAGGATAGTTTGCACCCTTTTCCACATAATTATATGATCCATGAACCCCTGGATATTTGAAATCAAGGTATCAGTTCCTGGGGTCTTCTCATATATTAAACTAGCGGCCCGCCCTCGCTTCGCTTCGGTGTAGAGCTGAAGTGTAGACTACAGTTTTTGTTCTCAGCCTTGTATTATACACAATTACATTTATTATGATTCTTCTTATACCTGCATGCAAAGTCTCAGCCCGATCGGTTTAAAATTAACAGTTTCATAAAAACTTTCATTCCCTATTTTATCCCCTTGGGGGCAGAATTGATCAAAATCTTATGTCATAACATCTACCTGCATGCCAAATTTCAGCCCGATCCGTCCAGTGGTTTGGGCTGTGCGTTGATAGATCACTATGGCAGTCAGTCAGTCACCTTTGAGTTTTATATATACTCGTAGAAGATCTTCGGTCCAATAATAATGTGATACCAATGTACCTATTCACGACACTAGGTTTGCCATATTGGCATTAAGTCCGCCATTTGCAGTGTAAAGGCAAAAAATATTAAATAAATAAAACGTGGAAATGTTTCTCAAGCGAGTATGGCCTTTTACACGCAGGTGACGTGACACGGCTCTAATTAAAACGTCAAACAGTACAGAGTAATGTCATTTTGACAGCACTATACCAGACATGCGCAAACTTTTTCCTTATCGTGCCAGTATTTACTATATGAAATCTCAAAAATTCGAGGGCCGCATTTGAGAATATTTATAAAATTTTGTCGGTTACCTTTTTGAATACCCAACTCGTTTAAGATGACTCCGTAAAGATTGCCTCAGGATAAAACCGATTTACAACTGTTGTTTAATGAACGATAATTGCTTTAATGATGCGATCTCATGAATCGGACTCCACCATTATGAGATCATGGGATTTTTCCATCTTACATAGTCGTGTGTCGCGGGGACTATTTTAATTCTGTTTTGTATTTAATGCTATTGTGATTTTTTGTTTCTAAGATTTGTAGTTTTCGTTGCAATTGGGCCTGATTCTTTAAAACTTAACTACCAGCAGTATTCGTCTTAACAAAGGGATAATGCTCTAAAACTGACTAAAAAACTTTACTACAATCAAGAAATAAATACAGCTAAAGATTTCTGAAAATATATTTTGCATTTATAAAAAAAATACATCAACTACTAGTATAAACATATTCAGTCATGGTAAATTGGTTACAATATTGAAGGATTGACAACTGCCTAATGAAGACAAACATCGACCATTTTCATATTGATCAATATTTAAAAACTTGACAGAACACTGTCCTTATCATGCTGTTTAATGAATTAAAAGGACACACTATTGTCAAGTTAACAAATAGCAAATACGAATATCCAAGTGAAGTGCCAAAGTGTAGAAGTGTAATAACTTAATGATGGTTATATAAATTTGGTAAAGACCACAGGGTGGGTGGCTAAAATTAGATTGCAAAACAAATAAAAACTTTTAATGTCTGAATTAAAAGTTGTTAGCAACATTTGGTACCAAAAATTACCTATTATTTAATCCGCACTAGCCCCGCTTGAAGAGGACCGGCTAACCATTGCGTCAATGTTTTAGCCGGTACTAAGACATTATCTAAAATTCAGACTAGAAATTTCTAGAAGAACTTTATCAAACTGTTATACGATCCAATGTAAAATATCTTATATGACAACAAGATCACACCTATTCATTAATCCATTACAAATGTGGCAATGTATATTTCTGAAATTACACGATAAGGAGTTTCAAAATACAAACTCGATTACAATGAGCACAATTAACGTTAAAATGTCAGAAATAGCCGTGAGAAAAGCAGGCTTTTAAACAAACGGAACATTAAAAAATAATTAATACGAAAAAACTTACCAACAATATATACGTGAGAATAAAAATCCGACCTTAAAGACTATCGAAGATCAGGTGCTATTTCGAGTCCGAAGTAAACACAGTCTTACTCATTTCAATGTCACAACACAGGTAATGCAAAATAACGAAATGTCAAACACAGCTGTGAGAGATAATAAATAAAAAAGAAAAAGTCGATCGGCACGATTGGTCGTTGGTTAACGTTCGGAATTTGAACGGACCAATAGCGTGGAGGTGCGCATGCGTGCGGCAGCAACGGACGCTTGACGCGGACTGAGGCGCTAAACGGTTTCACAAATGTCTGGGGCCTGAGAGCCTTCTCCATTCACATCATCATATTGCTTACTCTACGCCTTAATATCGACCTCAGCACTCTTATAATAAGAATTAAAATCGTTAACATAGAATAGGTTGAAACGCCCTTTCATTTTTGCAGTTTCTACCTTGGTCGCCTTCGAAGTGCGCACGAGTCTATTTTTTTGCGGCGACCGCGACGTCTCGATTTAATTTCCTTTATTTATAATAATCGGTAGACTTTTGTTATTGGAAAATAACAACCCACTTTTTGTTATGAATGAGGATGGGTAATGTGGAAAAAAACCCCAAAGTTCTAAGTAAAAATATTATTGTTACCAGTACCCTTAACACGAACCAATATCGAATTCGTATCGTTTGCGAGTCCGAAATGTCATTGTCAAATGTGTACTGATTTTTAGTTCTCGTTACATCCATTGTGGCGCTGCTGTTGAGTTTTCCATACAAAATTTGACAATGACATTTCGGTTTGTAAACTATTCGAATTCGATAATGGTTCATGCTAGAGGTACAGAACGCGTTGATGTCTATAGTTGTGGCATCTCATCAATACGCGAAGTTTCATAGAAGGGGCTGAACAAGTATTACGTAATCAGATTTACTACAATTATTTACCCCGTCCTCCCTCTTGTCAGCAAAAGTAAGCAAAGCTCTTACCCCCCCCCCCCCCCGTGCTTACGAAAACATTGGTACTTCTATATGCATTTTTCCTTTAATGTATTCTTTTTTTTTCATTCATGAGCTTTCATGAGCTTCATGAGCAGCAGTACTTAAATAGGTTTAGGATAGAGGACTTTACCGCTCATAGTATTCATTTAAACAAACTTTATTGACACATTATTCAACATAGAGTAAGGTACAAAAATATTATATTCTTATTAAGTACGATTACGAACAAAACAAACTTCTTCCGAATTTTTGGTATACATATTAATTCCAATTAACAGTCTTCAGCTTAGCTCTAAGGTCTTCAGTTCATGACACCAAAATCCATGATGCTGACGTAATCACTATTTCGACCCCCTTACCCCCCCATGTCATAAAAAATAAGCAAAGCAAAGACCCCTCTGCCCCCCTATAGTGCTTACGTAATACTTAAACGGCCCCGAAACACTGAAAGCTTTTTTAATTTTTGTAGATCAAACTGAATTCAGGAGTTTACTGGCGTAGTAATTCTAATTAATCATTCGGTTTGCGATTGTAAAAGTTAAGAAACTTTCGCAGGGGGTTGGGCGTAGGATGGATGACAAAAAAATATTTTCTTTGCTTAATTTTCCGTGTATTGAAAGGTCATTTTAGGATAAGCCATAAGTTGCTAAATACCTACAAAATCTTGTTTGTGGGCTTCGTGGTGGGTTATGGGTATGACCTACCCAATTAGTATCCAATTAGTCATAGGCCGTTTCCTCTATTCCTTTCCAAAAGGAAAAGGCCTTACCCTAGCAGTGGAGACATTAAAATGTTAGTAATGTTGTTCTGTATTTTTGTAAATTCAAGAATTTTGCGTAAAATCTAGCTACATATAACCAACATCATTTTACTTATAAGTAAGTAATAATATCACTAATACCTACTTTTTCCTCTAAAATCTACAAATAAAATCTTCGAAGTTGTATAAAGTAATAGTTCTGTTTAAAATTTTGTTCATCCTCAAGAACCAGTCAAGTTCGATGCCTTTTCAATAAAATTACTAAATAATTATACCTTAAAAGTTTCTTTAATTCGTTTTGGATCTTATTATGTTCTGCATAAAGTTTAAAATTGATTTTTCCTGTCAGAAAAATATGATGTCATCTTTGAAATCAATCTCCGCTTAGGTATTATTATGACAAAAGAAAGAAAACATCATATATCACATAATTTAATAACTTTTACAATGACGTCTCGTTTATTGATTTGTTTTTTATTAGGATGCTTTTTAATTCCAATCCTCTGCCATCCCCGTAAAAGATATATTGGTAAACAAATAGCACAACACTTACACCTAAGTGGCACAGTTCTTAGCCAATGCCTAAAAATAATCTCGTGCAGATGGAATGCCGTCGAACGACCTCCGTAGTTTGCTGAAGTGCAAAGAAATCACAGAGGCTCCATGAAGCTTTGCATGTGTGTGTGAGCACTAGCGGCCTGTTGCGCCAATGAAAAAGTTTCTTCGTATACGCGCAGGCCGCCAGTTTCCACTCACTCACGCGCAGTTGTTCAGCTTTGCCTCTGTTCCTTTTTTACTCATGTGGTTAGCAGGTAGAAACTGCGTTTCCGACGACTAGCGACTCGATTATCGCGTAGTGTCATTCGCTCATCCAATACGGTAAACTACCGTATTTAAACATTAGGCAACATGAATAGAAGACACAGCTTTGCAAGCAATCTTAATGGCCCGTTTAAAAATCAACCTTTAGTAAGACGTTAAGAGAGGTTGGCATAGCAGTTTTTCCGCTCGAATTTGAGCGCCCGTCTGGGGAAGTGATCTCCAACTTAGAGAAGCCCACAGGCATAATAAAACTACCTCTTCAACATGTTTGCAAAACATGTGCATTTACAGAAGTTGTCTAATTGTTCGAAAGTTCAAAATTACGCACCGTACAAAAGAGCGTGTGGTAAAATTTTACCGCTCGCTTGGGTATATTGTACCGTGCGTATCCTTTACAGTATTTTTGAAGTGAAAACTTCTTAAGCGGCGTTGTACACTTTTTATTGTTTGGGTAAAAATATTAAACACGCGTCAGGTTAAACGCATGGGCTGATCGCATCATACAACACAACAAAATTGGAAAGGTTGTTGACTTTCAATATATTGGACGAAATATAGTAATATTTTATTTTACCGTATTATAATATAATAATAAGTCTATCTAGGACGTCCACGTGGCAGCTTTATTGCGATGAAAATGCATTTTTTTACAATAGATGTCGCTAGGTGCGCTTAAATATGAGTCATGTAAGTTGATTTTTCTGAGAGATAAACTCTTTTAATGTAATATAAATTGTCATGTTTGTGTACAATAGCGCAATAAATAAATATAGTATTCTACCACATACATGATAGTACTTTTATACTGATAATTAAAGCAATTCGTGCAAAATTATTCCCTAACCATTCCAAAATATCAAAAATGCACAACGTTAATATTCAAGTTTTCACTTCTGCCGGCACTCCTGGAGTGCAACCCATCGTTTTTTTTAATTTAGAACGAATCTCCTTTGAAACGCTTTTGATCTTTAATACTAAAAAAAGAAAAATAGAGCCAAAATATGTAGTTCTAATTTTCACGTGGCGCCACGTGGAAATGCGCGCCATTTTCGTCTTAGAAAAAGTTTGCTTCATTACTTAAACATTATACTGTTTACTCGCAAATGTGTTGAAAAACGTTGTGTGATCGTGCGGTATTGGTATTTACAAACTCGTGACTATGGTCAACCCTCGAATTCGTCTCGGGCTTACATTCGTCTACTCGTTTGTAATAACCAACTTACCGCACTAGTATGATAAATAACTAATTATTGGTGTTATGTTTCTGTCGGAGAGTAAGGTTCCAGAGCTTCACGGGATCGGGGATTGAGTCAGGGTTGGTAAACAGTGCGAGTGATATTATTGGTATCGCAAGCGTCTATAAATCGCGGCACGAAACTCTAGCGCTGACCGTTATTGCGCAGAAGTAAAAATTAAGATGTGTTGGGGGAAAACGAGGTGCGCGGGTGGGCGTGCGTTGCGCCGATTGGCTCTCCAGTCGTACCCATGCGCATCTAACCCCTCCACGTTTTCTTCAGCGCTAGAGTTACGTGCCACGACCTGTACATGCTATGGTGGCCGTTCATCTTCTATTACTGTCAGGAGGGTCATATGCTAGTTTGCCACCTTTGTAACATAAAAAAAACATAGGACCAGTAGAGCTTTTTGCTGCCTAGATATTTATAAAAACAAATGTTGCTTAAAAATGGAGCCGGATTATTCTTTTCTTTTATTACGTACATGTTTTGATTTTTAACCATATATACATATTTATTGTTTATTTTATGCATATATTTATTTTATTTTGGTTGATTGCAGATACATGAATGTTTATTAGACTCGTACCGAATTAGTGACTTTTCTCTGGTAAAATCAAGTTTTTATTCCTTTCGCCCGCTTTGTTTCATCACTTAGGATTGAAAACTATTTCATCATGGTTTTTTTCTTTATGTTTTCAATGTTTTCTTTTTGGTAACTTAGGTTTACTTAGTAACCTGTTAAGCAACTTTTGCAGTGGTCGGTCTTTTAATGGGTGACCAAAAATTTACTATCTCGAGTTCCTTCGTGCTTCGGAAAGCACGTTAAGCCGTTGGTCCCAGCTGCATCTGCAGTCGTAAGCACCCACAAATCCGCACTGGGCCCGCGTGGTGGAAGGCCTTTGCCCCAGCAGTGGGGAAATTAATAGGCTGATGATGAAGGTTTACTTATGTTTTTCCAGCTGTGTATATTTTTGCTGGCCTATGGCTGTTTAATGTACCTTTATAAATAAAAAAAAAACAGTGTGATTATTGAAACTGGTCGTAAACAATTTTTTAGGATCTTTGAGATGTCATTTGTTTTGATGGTCCCTTCTTTGAATAACTAAGCGACTTTAAGACGATATATTTTGAGGGGTCGCTTGTTTTTAGGATTCCGTGCCGTCTGTCTGTCCGTCCGTTGTCTATTTTATTGAGACAAATATAAGGCTTTTTAATGAAAACAATAATAATACATTTAGACAATATATATCGAAACATAATTCGACCAGTGTTGGCATTACTGGGTTCTTAAAGAATATCAGTGAATCTTTTAAAAAAAGCTTTAAATTACTTAAACGTAAATTTAAAGTAAAATCTGATCACATTAAGTGGATAACGAAAGGTATCAAAACATCAAGCAAAATGAAGCGTTTTTTAATATCAGCTCATAAGTCAAACTATGATGAATCAGTTTTGAAATATAGAAACAAATAAATTAATATCTATAGACGTGTATTCAGAAGTGCACACAGGTTAGCTGTAC